GTTTAATAAAGCACACATAACTAGCCTGACAGAGGGTTTAAAAAAATATATATATATTATTATTAGTCAAAAAAGTTTAATTATGTTATTTTTTTTAAAAAATTTTTTTAAAATTTTTAATAATGTTTAAAATTATTGTTTCATATAAGACTTATTTTAAATCATTATCAAAAAATTTATAGATAAAAAATAAAAAACTTTTTTATGATATTATCTATAAAATAAATATCAATATTCTTTTGAAAAAAAAAATTAATTTATCAAATTTATAAGTTAAAAAACAATTTGATATATAAATATTTTAAGAATATTTGATCAAATAAAAAACTTTATATTTTTAAAACTTTTTTATTTAACTGATATGATTGAAATATATTTTTATTAGCAAAAATGACTTGACTTTAATTAAAATTTAAATATTTTTGTTTTGATCAAATATTATTTAACTATTTATATAATAATATCAATATCTTGTTTTTTGAATTTTTTTTGTATATCTATATTAATTAAATATATATTTTTTTATTATTTTTATAATTTTTATTTTGAATTTTGATTATATTATATTATAAATTAAACTTTTTTATTATACTTAAATCTTTATTTTTATAATATTTTCATATTTATTCAATAATTGTAAGCATATTACAGTTAATATAAATAACTATTAATTCAAGTTTCAATTTCAGGTTTGATAAATATTTGTATGAAAAATAGTTTTATATCATTTATACAAAAGGAAAATTATTTTTTTGATATGAAAGTTTAACAAATATTTAAGTTATCCAATAAAGGTTCATAAACTTGAAAAAGTATTAAAGATTAATATTTGTATTATTCTTTAAGTTTTGAAAATTTTGAAAGTTTTTATGATGTGATTTAGGAAATAATAAGAAGTAGACTACTTATGTCTTCTACTGTAATTAGTTTAACAAGAAAAAAAATCAAATAGATAATAAAAAATAATAATAAAATTATTAATTATTAAAATTTTTTTAAAAATAAATTGATTCTTATTTTTTAAACAAATGGTTTTTTTCTATTATTATTAGGCAATTTTTAAATAATTAATAAATAAAATTTATAGGAAATTGTAAAGCATATTGAAATACAAATTGTATGATATACGAGCATTTTCTAATATTGAAGTCGTCGAATAATAAATACATTTGTATATGAATTATAAGATGATTTATTTGGGGGTTCAAGAATTTTTATTTGCATTTTTTTTTATTTATTAGCTCTATAAAAGTTTTTTTAACATGAAAATAATAAATTTTGTAATAAGTAAGTATAATAAAATAATTTGAATTTTTGAATTTTGAAATTCGCAATATACATTATATTTGTCACAATATATATATATATTTTTGAATTGCTGACTCGATCATTACTTATTTCGCCATGTCTTTTACAGGAGATAAAATATATTTCTTTGGTTTGAATAGCTAACATCACATTTGTTATTTGTCAAAAAAAAAAATAATAATAATAATAATAATAAATAATAATAAAATAAATAAATTGCTTCAATTATATAGCACATCAAATCATAGTTTGAATACTTATAGCCACATCTTTTTAGTATTAAAAACCAGTTTTATCGGTAATTAAAAGTCAATCAATATTTTCATATACACACGTTTTAAGCTATTGTCATTATTATCATTATAGGCAAATAATTTCAAGTTTTGGAATGTTGATTGATCTTTAAAGGATGCGATTATCTGAGTAGATCAAACTTGATGCACGGTGTAGGTCTTTAAAATTTGTGGTTAATGGAGTGGCTAGCGTATTTATGGTTAATGAGGGTTTTTCTTTGTTGCAACGGATCCGTAGAATGGCTGGAATGGACAAAGAAATTAACGATCTTTATCAGGTCATTGGTAAGCGTCATATCTGGAATGCGGCTAATCGCACGGTCAAGTTTAGCATCGGTCGAATCTGAGTGTGCAAATTGTCATTTGCAGTCGATTCATTTTATAACCACGAAATTCATCGTGAGCTCGGTATACCGGAGACAAGAACATCATTGATCAGTGGACCGCGAGGAGTTGGGAAAAAAACTTTAGTAAAGTGAGAATAATTAACGGGAATGGTTATTCATCGTGGAGGATGCTTTCTGGTCCATCTCGAGGGATCCATGTTTATTAATAATGTTTTATCCTTATATTAGGCACGTCTGTCAAAAGATTCCAGCGAATTTATTCGCCGTCTCATTGTCGTCGATTATAATAAATTACGATCTACTCGAGGACGTCGGATTAAGAGAAGAAAATGGCCAAAGTGATGATAATCCGATACGGTCGATCTTTATCAAGGCTATCTCATCAGCGCCGTCGGTTATTCTTTTGAAAGATTTGGATGTTCTGGCGAAGGGACACGGTGAATACTCGTTCGAATCTTGCGAGAAAAATTATCGCAGATTTATACGGCATATACTGAATCCTAGGCGTTGAACTTTAGATAGCGAATGGAGGTTAAAAATTATCAAGATACTGGAAAGAGAGCTTCAGAAGATTCACGAGAAGGTGGTGTTGATTAAACTCATTCATTTCTGAGAATCTGCATTTATCCACGGTATATTTGATCGACCCTTCCGATTGTCAGGTCTTCATAATAGGCCTAACTTGCGATGCGACGAAATTACCAGAATCAATGCGCAAATTTGGTTTTTTTCAACATCACTTGGATTTGGATCTTCCTACTCGGTACTCTCTCGCCTTTCCTCAAAATAGTTAATGTGTTATGATAAAGGTGGTCACTCGTTAAACTTTATTTGCTTGATCGTTTCAATAGGACGCGACGCGAGGAAATACTGAGATTTTATCTTGAAAACTTAAATGTAGTGAAACCAGAGGAAATAGATGACTTTGTGAAAAAATTGGGGATGGTAAAACATTATCAATCCAATGTTTATATAGTGCAACTTTTGGTCACAATTGATTTTTAAATAATATTATCGCTTATATTAAGGTAACCGCCGGTTACGTGGCAAAGGATTTGGAAAAATTCGTGAGGTTAGCGGTGTTGCATGCTCTTAGAGGATTGATAAGTAAGGATGAAAGGCCTGTGAGGCAAGTTAGTAATGAGGAGGAGGAGCTCGAGGATCTTTTTGGAAAGATGAGTTTGAATGGTGGTGATGTCGAAAACGAAATGAAGAGGTTGGTTGACCTTTCCACGCGCGAGCGTCGTAATCGATTCGACCTATAACCCACCAAACACTTTAATCTTCTATAGATCGTGGAAATTGGATTGGGATAGTTTTGAATATGCACTCTCTGTGATAAAGCCGTCGCAGAAAATTGAATTTGAAAGCGTGCTGCCAAATAGATTGTGGAGTGACATCGGAGGGTATTTTTTTTAAATTTAACAACCCCGCATTTTTTTTTTTTTTTTCAATTATATAAAGGAAAAGGGCTTGCTTTTAGATATGAGAGCCTAAAGGGAAAGCTGGAGAAAATAGTTAAATGGCCCCTCACTCATCCCGATACATATGCTAGACTGGGAGTGAAACCAGCTTCAGGATTACTGCTCTATGGTCCATCGGGTAAATCAATTGTGATCGTTTGGTCAAAGCTACGATAGATGGATTAGTTAGTTTGCTTACAAATGAATTAAAACAGGATGTGGAAAAACTATTCTGGTGCAGGCTTTGGTGTGCGAATCGAGAATGAATGTCATTTGTGTCAAAGGGTGAAGTTATGAAAGAAAAGGGATATACGCATGCACGCATTGGTTTGTTAATTTATGGTCTTGAAATTGCAGACCGTCGATATACTCCAAATATTTAGGTGAAACCGAAAACATCATCCGAAATTTGTTTAAGACGGCAAGAAGGATCTCCCCCTGTATCGTGTTTTTCGACGAAATAGATTCTATTGCCTCTAGGCGAGGTACGTTTTTTTTTTTTATTCCGGGTCACGTGGCATTCGCGTTTTTCTCGGTGTTCACCGTTGACTTTTCTTAAAGAATGGTATGACGAAGGTGCCGACATGGGGGTGAATGAGCGCGTGCTAAGCACTCTGTTAAATGAAATGGACGGGATACAAGAATTAAATGACGTGCTGGTGATCGGCTGTACTAATCGGCCCGATCGAATCGACGACGCCTTACTGAGACCAGGTTTGATCTAAAGTTGAATTTCTTAATGACTATTGGTTGATGCCTAATAATTGTTTCGAATCCTATGCTCGTTCTAGGCCGAATTGATCAATTGCTACATGTAGGATTGCCAACTAAGGACGATCGGGTCGGCATATTAAATGTCATTTCGCGGCGAGTTCCGTTTGGCCGTGAGGTTAACCTTGGCAAGCTGGCTGAAGAGAGCGAAGGATTTAGCGGCGCAGATTTGGAAATTTTGATCAGGCATGAAATTTTCATTTCGGGGGAGGGTTTTTTTTTTTATTATTTTTATTTGAAAATAATCCGCGTCTTTGCTATTCACATTTATCATCAAATAGGGAGTCTTCGTTTAATTCACTCCGGGAAAATATAACAAACACCCAGGTTTCAATCGGTCACATTCAACCGGTGTTAAGGAAAATGAGAAAGACGAAAGTTAGTCAACCAACAAATAACACGGAGTCGACATTTAATAATAGGATTTAAAGGCCATCTACATTACAACTTTATTAAAAGCTCTTTCAGTTTGAGATTTTATTATTGTATCATTGTTATATTAAAATCAATTTGTCCAGTTTTGGAGTACGGGGAGTCGTCCTCCCGAAATGTATCGCGCTCGGAAGTCAAATTGACAAAAAGGATCGTAAAAAAAATAACGCTGCGTATTTACGTAGAGGATGCCCATGGTAGGTACTGATATATTTTATTATTCACGTGACGGACGAAGGCGTAGAGAACGAACCGGAAAACTTGGCACATGATCAAGGCATTTCGGATTTGCCCAATTAGGTCACATGATCATATTTACACACACAACACAATACATTTTGAATTGTATTGAACATCGTGTAAAGCTCGTTAATTGGATAATGTTGGTTAGTGTCGTTGTGCTACAATACGTTTTGCCATACGATTATTTTTAAAGGCCGGGACCATAATCTAGGGGTTCCCATGTAGATTTCGAATATCGAAACGCCAAGAATGGAAAAAACACCATCGCCAATGTTGCTTGGTTCTGACGGATGATCACACAATGTACTTTATTATTACGATCGCCATATATCATGGTGGCAACAGGTGGTAAATCATGGTTCCAATTATGTCCTCTATTTTTAGGAATATTTGCGTCACTTTTTCTTCGCTTGAATTGTTATTTTTGTTCGCAGGAATAGTGTTCTCTGTGCGTCACCGATGCGATAAGGGTGCCGCACCGGTGACGCACGGGAAACACCACCCCTGCAAATAAAAATAGCAACTTAACTTGGATTAAGTTAATACCAAGATACTTACTGTAAATTAGAAATAACTGTAACATGTTTATACTATTATGCAACTTGAAAGTTAAATCTCAATAAACTTTTGCGTCTTAATTTATAATGGTTGGTATTTCCTAATGAAAACGAGTTGACTTGAAGATAAAATAATATATCGTGTGAAGAAATCCCGGAAACAATCATATGAAAACGACGATTATCCTCGGATCCTATCAAAGAACTGAAAGAACTGAGTGGTAGGTGGTTTCGGGAAACACGATAGGTGGTGGTGGCCTGAGTCATTAATTATTAATTAATCATTTAATTATTAATGTTAGTCTTGTCGTCAACTTTATTAACATCTGTTTAGGTAAGACAGGATGCGGATAAATACGACGGAAAAAAAGCTTTGAAAACTGGTAATAGTTGGTTCATCAAGAGAAATTCGGAATTTCCTTATTTCCGACGACATGCATATGACCGTTATTAGTCATACGATAGGAGATATGACTCAATTGATCTGGTTACAAAATGATCTTCATAATTGCATCATGGTAATTATCTCGTGAAGTCTCAAATTTTCTCGAAATTTCTTTTTGAATAATGTATATAAACAAACAACTTTCTGCTTAAAAGATTTTTTCAAAAAAATATTTTTGATAAAATCTTTTAAATCTTGTATTTACGAAAAAAAAAAAAATGAGCGAACAACAGCAACAACAACAACAGCAGCAACAACAACAAGAACAGTCACAGCAGCAAGAACGGCAAGAACAACAACAGCAAAATGAGGGTTTTCATCAATTTTTCTTCCCGCTCACATTTGTAATTCGCCAACAACCGTCACAACCATCTGAGTCGTCAGAATCGTCTCAATCGTCTCCTCAAGACACAGATAATCGACCAACGCTCCCGCAAACCATACATTTCTTCGTCTACCCAATACCCGGAACGAGGGGTGATGATCCTACGTCACCACCACCTTTTATATTTTTCGCGCCATTTTTCGTTCCGCAAGAAGCTCGGAAAAATGTGTCGGAATCTACCATGAAGAAATTACCAATCGTCAAGATTACACAAGAACACATCAATGCACAACCGAGTTGCCCAATTTGCTTGGAACCATTCTCCTTATCGTCTGATGAAGATGGCGGGACACGTGACCGCGAGACAAGTTCACTACCTGATATCGTACGGCAAATGCCTTGTAAACACATATTTTGTGAATCATGTTTATTCCCATGGTTGAAACAGAATAATACTTGTCCATTGTGCAGGGAAGAAATTCCGTCCGAAAATGATTCACAAGAATCGAACGAGCAAACATCTACCGAGAGTGTGAATCCGATCCACTCTCAAGATGCAACAATGGACGATGCAAGTTTATCAACATCAACTGAATCAGATGGCTCTTTTGCACATTTTTCTCATACTCACGCTCCACCTCATAATCATTCTTCCCACCCTAATCCTCAAAATAATAATCAACAAGCATCCGTCGGTTGTGCATTAAGTGGTGTGGGATGTTGTGGTGAATTACAGAATAATGAAGAATCACATACTACTTCTCCAATAGTCACTCTACCACAGTGCCACCATCGATTTCACGCTTCGTGTTTAAGAACATCGTTGATCGTCGAAGGTTATTCTTTTGAGTCTTTAACGTCTCAACAATTGTACTTTCATTGCCCAGTGTGCCGTTCACCAGCAATCATTCAGACTGACGTGTTGAAGATACCGTCGGCGAACTTATCTAATAATAACTTACCATCGCCGCAGGAACAGCAGCAAACTTCATTATTAAATCTTCCCGTAATAATTCCTCATTCACCACCAGATCTAGATGCAATGGATTTGGATTAAATTTTAATTTCCCAACAGACATTTTATTTATTGCATTAGTATAGACAATTCATTTGGCGAACAGGCGTTCTTGTAGATCTTATCTTTGATTTGTAAGCACTAATCTGTAAACCTCGATGTAATGTTTTCTAATTAAGGACAATATCAAGAATGTATAATATCTCTCTTACTAAAGAACATTTGTAATAATAATAAAAAAAAACATTTATGCAATAAATGTATTGCCCGTCAGAAATCCATTCATGCAATGATCATCAGTTTTGAGTGTCCTCTGTTAATTGGTCCGAAAGTAGTGGGAAAAAAGTTCGGTTCGGTAAAATTTCGGATTTAATGAACTTGAAAGAGGAACGGTGAATTACGTGTATTTGAACGCGAAATAGCCGATTACGCACGCATCGACTCGGAAGATTCTGGAATTTGATTATTAATCGACACTCTAATAAATTTTTTTTTTATAAAAGCGGTTCTAAACTTCTCTCTCCTCGTTAATTCAATTTCTACAAACAATACCATGGCTTCCATCCAAATTTCAGGAGATTACGGATACGTACGTTTTTTACACGCGTTGCTTTTCAATCTTTGCAAATACTCTCAATTAAAGTTGGTACTCGTTGTTGGCAGGTGATTATTACCGGGATCGCTTCGGTTTTTATGACCACCTATCTTGGCGCCAAAGTAGCTTCCGCTCGAAAGAAGGCGATGATTCCTTATCCTAACAGTGAGTATCATCACCTAATCCGTTCATTTATCCACCCGACCGACCATCGTTCTAATCTCCATTCCCTCTCACAAATATCAACCTCCACAAGTGTACGCCAGCCAAGAAGCAGCTGAGAAAGACCATAAAAAAATGATCTTTAACTGTTATCAAAGGGCTCATCAGGTTAAACACGATTTTCCATTTTGTGCGTGGTGGTATTTCTCCGTTTCTGATGTCATCATATTAATATATATTCTCGACCGATGCGTATTACGGATTCAGAACACCCTCGAAAACTACCCTCAATTTCTCTTCACGTAAGTCCTCACCTCCAAGGAGTCACGTGCACACATAACACGCGAACTAATCACATGTCCCATAGTCTTTTGATAGGCGGCTTGAAACATCCTATTCTCTCGTCAGTCGGCGGCGGAATTTACATTTTGGGTGCGTTGATCATCTGTCATTCATTTTTGCATCACCTGAATTCATTCGCGCATGCAATAACACTTTTATTTGTTCAGGCCGCCTGGCATACGCTTGGGGCTACCAAAGCGGCGATCCGTCTAAAAGACACCGAGGTGTCTTTGGTTACATTGGCACCTTGATATTGGGTGGTACTTCAATTGCTACTGCTGTTAGCCTATTAACCTAACCACCTCGTGCTCGTATTCTATCGATCAGCTTAATTACAAGGTTACGCTTTTATACTGTGATTTCAATTCTATAGGCATTTATTATTGTCATTGCGAGTATCCTCGAGTTACCAATCAAATAAATAAAAAATTATGCAACATCAAATCATATTTAATCGCGGATTTCTACAATGACGCCTGAAAAAAAAAAAAAAAAAGTTATCGTGAGATGTGTTCTCCGAACATAAAGATCCAAAAAAAAAAAAAAAAAAAAATCCTTTTTACCGGTTCCAACTGTTTTGCCCCCCTCACGAATGGTGAACCTCATCCCGGGCTCAATTGCCATGTCATAAATGAGTTCGCATTCCAAGGTGGCATTATCCCCTGGCATAACGAACTTTTCATCGGGATTCTCGGTACCAGGCGGATAAGTTAATGTAACGGTGACATCAGAAGTTCGGAAATACATTTGAGGTCGATAATTTTGCGTGAAAGGTGTATGCCTTCCTCCTTCCTCCTTCGTGAGAATGTAAACTTGCGCAGAGAACTTCTTGTGTGATTTAACAGTCCCGGGAACTGCAATCACTTGCCCTCTTCGAATTTGTTCTCGTTTAATACCACGTAGTAGTGCGCCCATGTTATCTCCCGCCATCCCTTTATCAAGTTCCTTGTTGAACATTTCTATGCCGGTCAACGTGGTCTTAATAGGTGCTCCCATTCCGACGATCTCTATTTCTGCACCTTTGGTGATGGTTCCCCTTTCCACTCTACCGGTGGCAACCGTGCCGCGTCCAGAGATGGAAAACACATCTACGGTTATGCATCGATGAATAAACAAGTTACAATAACTTTCTCGAGTAACACAATCCATCTTTGAGATTACAAATATCATGGATAAATACCCTCGACTGACATTAAAAACGGTTTGTCCAGATCTCTCACAGGCGTCGGAATGTGTTGGTCAACAGCATCCATCAACTTATCTATAGCCTTCTCCCCTATCTCCGGATTGCGACCTTCAAGTGCGGCAAGTGCTGATCCCAAAATTATGGGTGTTTTTTCTCCGTCGTATCCATATTGCGTCAATAAGTCGCGCATTTCAATCTCAACCAACTCCAACATCTCCGGATCATCCACGGCATCAACTTTGTTAATGAAAACCACAAGGTTTGACACACCGACCTGCCGAGCTAAAAGTAAATGTTCACGTGTTTGGGGCATTTGACCGTCCGTCGCTGAAACGACAATAATAGCACCATCCATCTGAATGCAAAGTCGATTAATGATATGCCCCTCGAGAAATGGATTTCAATTTATTACCCCATTTACCTGTGCAGCTCCTGTAATCATATTTTTGATATAATCTGCGTGTCCTGGACAATCGACGTGCGCATAATGCCTCGTCGCTGTCTCATATTCGACGTGAGCGGTAGCAATGGTAATGCCCCTCTTCCTTTCTTCTGGCGCTTTGTCAATCTCACTATAGTCTTTAAATTTTGCTTGCCCCTTTGATGCCAGACATTTGGTGATGGCGGCGGTTAATGTGGTTTTTCCGTGATCCACGTGTCCGATCGTGCCGACGTTTATGTGTGGTTTGCCACGTTGAAATTTCGCCGGTTCAGTAGCATACAATCGCACGACTGTAATATATTGAAAGGGGGAAGGCATCGTTGTTTTTTCTTTTTTTTTTTTTTGGATCTTTATGTTCGGAGAACACATCTCACGATAACTTTTTTTTTTTTTTTTTTCAGGCGTCATTGTAGAAATCCGCGATTAAATA